TTTTGCTTGACTTCATCGGGCTAAGGATCCTTAATGAATGGTGAGAAGGCTTCACTTCAGATTAAGCTGGTCTGTGTGACTTACAGGACATAGAAGTGAAAGGGATCTTTTGGTCCATTCAGTTGAATCCTCTGCTATCTCAACCACTGTTATTATATACGCTTTTTGTAATTTGAATTTAAGTAACACCTTAAAATCACACATTCCTCTTTCCTGAGCATGAATGTCTGGACCTGTATACCAGAGGAGGACAGGGTAAGCAAGGAAAGGAAGGTTGCGGTTCTAAGTTGGTGCTGCTGGGTTCCACCTCCCTCCCCACGCTTCACATATTCACACCCTTTGCACTGGTGCTTGTCTGATCCTCCTCTGGTATTTAGAAAGCTAATGCAGCTCCTACTCCTTCCTCCCTTTCCCTCCCCTCCAAAAAGAAATCATTTTCTGCCGCTTTTAAGGCTCTGACCGGTTCACCACAGAATCAGATGAGGGCCTGAGCAGTTGGGAAAGGGAAAGACTGGCTTAAACTGTTGTAGAACTACAGCCCAACAAAAAATGAAGCAAAGCCCTTTTCGTACCTGCCACCCTGCATAGGTGTCATCTGTCCATGAGGTGTTGATGCTGGTGTAGGGGGCTTCAAATCGCCTGGCACTTCTGTCATGGAATTACTACCAGTAGACTGTGGAGTCTGTGGGCCTTGCAAGGAACCAGAATTAGCTGGGAAATTAGAGAAAAAGGAAATATTAAAAGGTAGCAGCCGAATTCCTGTGGAAATAATAATCATCAAGGAGAGAAACTGGTTCTTTCCCCCATAAGCCTGCTTATACCATGCATCTCAGTACTTTGTAACTTCCCCAAAATCCTCTGAGATCAGGATATGCTGTGCAGTAATAGCTGTCATCTTTCCTAGAACCATGAATTTAATCTGCTGCCTGAAGCAACATGAATAGAAAACATCTAGATGAAGGACCATTTAAATCGGAGGTCAGAGATACAAAGTTAATTGTCTATAGTTTACAACAGAGTAAATGAAGGTTGTTCTTTGGCACAGCTTCTTTACATAATCACTATCACAGCACATACGTTTATAAGGCAAATTTCAGCCAGAAGCTTTTCCTCACAAATTTAAATTGCTATATTAATATAAATTCATAATTTCATTTACCACTAAAAGGCAGACATTTCCATGGTGAAACATGGCAAATGATTAGCGGCACGCTGCAACCCAATGCCATCTTTGGGACAGCATGGCAAAAGATTGTATTTAGGAAATGCAAAAGGCGATCTGGGATAAGAAGAAAGCGATCACTGAAAGCAGAATTGAAACAGGAGGCTATAGCTAACACTCCTAATAAAACTGTAAAAATAGCAATGGGCTTCTTAACAAAATGTAGTTAGGGTCATTGTAGAGCATACGTAACAAGACCAGGTCAATTCTGCAAAGCATCTGTTTCATCTGCAGAAACTTCTGTGTTGAGATCTCAGAAAGCGATAGAGTACCTGCACTCCTGTCCTCCTTAACCGTGGTAAATAGCTATATTCTTGATACGACAAGCGCAGAAAAGCGTGTACTGTTCTATTCCGATGAGACTGAGCAGTGATAAAGGGCATTAAATGAATACATCACATAAGCTCATGATGAAATACATCCAGACCAGTCTTTTAAAGTAGACACTGAAGTTACTATTTTCTTATGACTACTGAGGAGAAACACCCCCCAACCCCAAAGATCTGCCCTAGTAGCTTTCTGATTTAGAAGGTAGTAAGTGGGGATTAGTAACAATGTCTAAGCCTTGTATCTGATTGGCCTTGCAGCAGAAATCCTACCCAAGGAGAACTTGTAGGACTGAAATCTTTCGATGCAATTGGGAAAAAAAAATTACCAACAGAAAAAATGCACAAATCTAACAGACTCAGAAAGACATGGCTTTGGCTTGAGAGGTCCTTCTTTTTTATGAACTGTCATGTAAGCATTTAATAGTGCCTGACTATCTACGTTCAACAACCAATTAACAAAACTTTATAAATTACTGTTAGTTGGAAAATTGGAACAAGCAGTATGGGTTTTTCTTCCGTATGTGAAAGAGAGAGTAGTTTATAATTGACTCAGAATCCTAGAACACTCATCATCTTGACAGGCAGAGCTTGTTTTTAACTGAAGAACACCTTTTTTATATGTGTTTCATTTATATCTGTAACACATGTTCCACTATCTGGAAATCAGTCTCAGTAGCAAGTGCATATGTAAAATCCACATTGTGTAGACCACATTGTTCTTGTCCTCAGCTTTCTGAGGCATGTTTGGATTACGCTCACATAGTAATGAGGTTCCAAAAAAGTTTAAGAAAAGCTCTCTGATTGCATTAATACAGTAACAACATTTGCAACAACTAATGCTACAGTTGACTGAAGGCTTTAGTGCTATTATGAAACAAATCCATATGATAATAAAAAAAAAATCATCATGTTCACATAGAACGACCCCTTTGTATATGACCCCTGAGTGTGCCAGGATCATTCTCCTGCCCTTGAGCTTTAAACACAATTCTAAATTACTTCTAAAAAGCTTGAAAGCATTTCCGAGTTAAGCCACACACTGTCGCATACCATCTTGTTATATGAGAACCATGTAAGTAAACATCTTAGTGTACCCATATACTTACTGTAAAACAGGGTATTGCCTAGCCCTGCACATTTCTCTTATGGTGGACTATTAAGCAGCAATTAAGTTCTTCCCTATCCTACCTGAGCAAGAACTTAATTCATATCTACACTAAACCTAAAGAAAACAAGTAAAGTATTTTTTCAGTATTTATGGGCTGCACGAATATACAATCTTTATTACGAATAACAATGTGTTTTATATAATCTTCTTAGATAAGGAAAGGTTTAACAGCAAAAAGAAGATATCCAACGGAGAAGCTACAAGTCAAATTTCTATCTGCTGGGTGGTGGTTATAGGGTTGGTTGTTTTTCCCCCACCCCTTTCTAAATGACTGCTTATAAACAGCTGAAAAAATGGAAGGCAAATGCTGTCTTGAGCAGTGCAAAGTTTCTGGTACGGCTTTGTTAATGCGCTTTGCTCTTGACCTCCATTGGGTCAGGGACACTTCTACAAAATAGGGACTGCAAGTGTTTCAATCTCTGGATTAGGTGGTCATCAGCTACCAAGAAGAGCCCAAGTGTGGATATGACCTACAAGCAACCGCAAAGACAATTTTCTATGTCCTACACTCACAGGCCGCTGAATAGTTCATCTATATTTTAGTAATAGCATCAATGTAAATAGCACATTCCTTGAGAAAGAATAAGACAAGTATGTACGCTTAATGGTTGCTCTTGGTAGAGCAGGAACAATTTTTTAAGCAACTTAACTTTCTCATGCAGGGTGTGATTTTCAGTACCTTTGCCAAGCTTCAGCCAATCATCAGGAAGTCATCCTGATGGGTATTACCCTCAAGCTAATTTTGTTTTGGAAATTTTCAGCTGTAACTGGCCAGCTTGTTTTAAGAATATGCCTTTGAAAATATATGGTCCTCTTCTGTTGTTCCCAAAAGAGAAATACTTTTCTGTGAGTCTTCCGAGCCAAATACATATTTGGTCACCTTTTTCACACACAGCACCAGTGGTCCCTTGGAGACTTGGTGGTAATGCTGGGGACGTGCTTGTGACAGGGAAAGTACTCTTGCTGTTCCAGTGTTTATTCGGATTTGGTCAAATAAATTTGTGAAAAATACCTGTTAATATGCAGAGATTATTAGCTTGCTATACATTCACTGCCTGGTTTTCTGAAGGTCCTGTTTCTACATATTTCAGGCCGGGGCGAGCAGGACTCTCACTAATTCAGCTCCTGGGTTGGTCTGGGCAGTCTTGAATGTGGAGCTGAGCACGAAAACCTACAGCCAGGAAGCAACCCCACACAAGCTCTCATGGTTACAACTGGAGGTTGGCAAGCAAAGGCAAGGTAACAGGGTTTCTGACCATCAACAGAAAAGGAGAATAGAAGGAGATTGACAAGGGGACTGGGAATCTGGAAAGGAGATACACATGCTGCTGAGATCAGATTAGAATCTGAGAAGTCTGAAGTTGCATGGACATGGTGCTACACAACAGGAAACACTAAGCAAGCCCAGAAAACGTACCTGATGAGAGTTAAAGTACAGGGAAAGAACCGTAAGTGGCTGGATGAAGAGACAGAGAGTTCAATACTGGGAAGAGCCCAATACCGGGCATACGAGTGAAATTAAATCTTGCGCAAGAGGTTCTTAGATGTGTGTTCCTTTTCTCAGAGAGTCTGTTTAGAGACGCTGTTTTCCAGCTGTGCAGAACATGTAGGGCAACAGATGAGATGATATAAAGGGCTATACGTGGCAAAACTTAGAAATAGCGGATACTCATGTTGTAAATTTTTTGGTACCCCAGTTCCTCTTCTGTAGAATGGGAATCATACTACTTTCCCTCTCAGATGGGTATTGCAAAGACTGATTAATACTTTTTAAAGCCCTCAAACACAGTTGTAGTGAAGACGAGAAAAAAACAAGGAGTAAATTTATAGCTCCGTCTGAGTCTGGTTGAAAACTGTGGCACAAGTAAGGGCTGTGTACTGAAAAGTGAGGATAACACAAAACACTGAATAGCTCCTCATTCACTGAGCACTGTTTATTCTGTGCACTGAATGACACAGACATTTCATGGAAAAAATGTCAATGTGACTGCGTAATTAAGAGTGTATTGAACTGTATATACGCAAGGAAACATAATTAAGGTTGCGGAGACTGTATCTCACTTTTGGCATTTCCTAACCTTTGAGTACTTGACTTTGCATCAAAGCAATATACTTCAAACAGTTTTTGGATATAGTATGTGCACACAGGTGCCTGCCTGCACACACGTTAAATGCAAACTAGTTACATTCTCTCACACATATATTTCACACACATTGCTATTAGCAATGCCTTCTAATTAAAGAATATGAAAACAACCCTCTTCTCTGTAAGAAAGTACCATATTCCTTTTTCATGTTTCACCTTAAAATTTTCTATTTGCTAAGCTGCTCTCTGAATTCTTTACATCTATCCTTGCAGGGTTTTTATTATGGTAGATGTTTAATTTTGATTGTGGACATCCTGAAATATAAACCGTATCTTTTAAAGTGCTTCATAAGCTTCAGTATTAAACACAGAACTAAGAAGGAAGACAAACAACAATGTTCTTTTAGAATAGGTAATCTCTGCTTACATGATTACGCAGCTGACTTGGGGATGTCCAGCAAAAAACCTGTGTGTACACAGCTACTGAGTTCTTCATCTCATGTCCACGTCTAAGCAATGCTTGTCTTTCAAGTGTCATAACGGATTTGTAAGAATATGCTTTTAACAATAGAGAAGCCATCCAAAATGAAATAAAATGAGCATCTCTGTCAGTGAGAAGGTGAGGTCCTACAAACTCTTCCACAGTTCACTCAACGGCACGCGTTATTCTTGGCAGCATGGAATTATAGCACCGGCATGGCTTTTTCCTTGCAAAGCCTGCACGGCAGTAAGTACTGCTTTCAGGAAAGACCCTTTATTTACCAGAACAGAAATATGCAGTTAATAAAAAAAAAAAAAAATCTTTCTCTTGCCAGCAATTTTTTCCCTTCAGGAAAAAAAAAAAGAAAAAGAAGAATGCAAGGTCTTGAAACTCCATTAATATGAGGCCTGACATGCTCTCTAGGATATCCCTACCTTTTGCCAGAAGCTACAAATGTATACTCTAAAGTAAACAATGGAAAGGTTACTGAAGGTTAAGTACATTCACATACTTCAGAGTGAACAGCCAGCCGCCACGCTGGGAAGATAATTTACACAGCACGAAGCCAGTGCCCTAGTTAGGCTGGGCTGGGGGCCGCTGGCTGCAGCAGGGCCCCCCCCCGAGGTGGGCGCGGGTGCAAGCATGGGGGCACCTCTGTCTGTCCCCCCGTCCACCCCTCCCGACCCCTCGCCCATCCATCTTCCGTGGGGATTCCCTGGCTGGTCTCATGACACGCTCCATGACATCACCTGCCTGCTAATAATAGCACTTCAGTCAGCCACCCGCCAGCAGAGACGGATGGGTTTGGTTACAGACGCACTCATTGAATGGCTGTGTCGTGTGGTGGTGTGTTGCGTCCCCCCCGCCATTCCCCTCCCCAAGTCTTGTTTCTCTGCTGCCAAGGAAACGCAGGGAACACACTCTTGGCGCGCTCTGCTCCCTCTTTCCAACACACGCGCACAATTTTCCAGGTTTGCTGTAATGAAATCTCTGTTGACATCAGGGCCAGCTGCTCAGCGTTACTCAGGAGCATCCTCAGCTGTACCACTGTGGCCATCCTGTTCATTCAGTGTAGGATAAACCGCTCAGTCTGTAATTTTGAGAGTCATGCATACATAACCGCATACTGCAGCTAAGAATTTACAGTGCCAGAGTACAGCAATGGAAAATAACTGCTTCACGCTGATGCTTTTTAGAAATTTGTTCTCCAGCACCCATTAGTGCTTAGCATAACGGCCCCCAGAATTACTTTCAGTTTAGAACTTGTCACATACTTTGTGCATATTTTGGTCAAAAATATCAAATACGCATGGCAGGAAGAGCATTTTGTCTTTGCACCCACTTCTGGAAAGCCCTGGAGTCCTAGAAGGATGTGTACGGAGACCTACAATGCCTCTCTCTCTATAAGGGATTTTCTGTGCAGCGGAAGAGCAGTCAACAGTTGGCACGGACCTTGGCACGGACCCAACAATCAGGACATAAGGCCAACAGGGGTCCTCTAATAGCTAGCCTGTCATTAGGCATCTGCTGCTGGTCTTCACTGCTGACGGCATTATCTGACCCAGACAGATTTAAGCTGTGATACAAAGGCCTCAGCCTACCACAAGCATGTCTCCAACTTGCACAGCCTCAGAGGAGTGCAAGCCACAATAAAACACATTCAGGCCCCCACCTCTCCCTGCGAGTTTTACGAAAGAACAGAAGAAGCTCTGACAGTAGCATGAAGCCAGAACATTTATTCAAATAGGCAGGTAATCCTACCCCTAACACCTTGGCAACTGTGCAAACCTCTACTGAACAAAGCCAACCAGGCTGTCACTTTGCTGCTCTACCCTCACTCCTTTTTTCAAATTTTTATAATTGCTGACACTATCCTGAATTGTACTGCACATAGCACTAAATTATTCACTCCTTTACACACCATTTACCTTATTAATGATGTTGTAAAAAACAAAAGTGATGGGAGAATCCCAAATACAGTGCTACAAGCAAATGGACTAACACATGGACCCAGATCACTGCCTTCCAGTCCCATAAATTTGACTTACACGTCGCACCCTCTCCCTGACCGGGCTCTTCTACGGGAATCTCCTCACTGTGGCTGTTGCACTGTGTTTCCTAGCGTCCCCTCTATGATCGCATTGTTCCGTGAGGCAGTCACATAATCACCCCCTGGATGCAGGACATCTGCGACAACTGATTTGCTCTGAACTACGTGTCACCGTGCTCCCACCTCGCACAACATCTACCTGGGAACTACATCAACATCGGAACTGAATTCTTCTCTGTACCAAGGCGGCTGCCAGTCCCTATATATTCTTACATATATTCTCTATATATTCTTATGAGCAATTGAAATACTTAAGTGTTAAGAGTTTTATGAAGATAAGCTGATTTTTAAACTCTCATGACCCTGATTTCATAGCATCAGCTGGTTAGAATTGGACAAAATACAACACCCTCCTCTCTGGGACAAGTCCCCCTGCTTTTTTATCAGAATTAACTTCAGCCCTAGTACTGTAACTAGTTCTCTGCAAATGGATTTGGCTTCGAAGTGGCTCTGCCTACACTGAGCTAACTGCACAACAGAGGCTAATGGTTCAAGCAAGGACCTTTGGAGGCTACTTGTTTCTTGTTGTATTGGGCTCCCGTTTCCTCTGAATGCCAAAGAGTAACAGATTATCTAAAGTACATCTACAACTCTGCTTCTTTTGTGCAGTTAAAATGTTAATGTTGTTATATACTAAAGGAAAAGGAGCAAGGAAAAAAGCTGACTCTTAAAGAGAACAGGCTTGTACTCTCTGCAGCATCTATACCTCAGCGGGATTTCATGTACTAAAGCTGATGCACACTGGGAAAGCCTTTCTCCATACAGAAGTGCAGTCCATTCAGTGACACAAGCTCTTTTCTTGCCAGCAAAACAAACCTTGAGATCTTTGCTTGCTTCCCCCTCTTATAGTCTCTGTGTCCTGCTGTGTTTTTATTTTAGAAAAATAGTTTCAGTTCTCCTCATAGACAGCTTGCTTGAATGTTATGATAAATTTAAACTTGGACTTTGCCATTTTCATCTGTGGCGTCACGATGCAAAAGGACCCTCTAAAAGTGGTACGTCTGACATTTCTATTCCTTTGTTTCAGGTTTACGTATTTAAATAACAAATCTTCATCTCAAAATTCAGCCAATTTACGGTGATCATCCCTGAACCAACTACTGAGAGCAGTGTTGGAGGGGAGGAGTAAGGGAGGAGAGAGCAAAGCAAAATACTCTTTAATTTTCAGTATTGCTGTTTAGTTTTATAAACAGATGAATTTCCTCTTCACCTTCCTTAACAAGTCTAACAGTTTCAGCTCCCCTTACCAGCCTTCTCAGGAGGTGACGGGCACGTCCAACATCTTTTATTTTTTTGCAGTGGTGCACATTCAGGACACTCTATGCTCATTTCAGACAGACAAACATTTGGACTATAGGCTTCACTTCTAGTACCAAGTATTTTTCCCCATCTTCTAAACTTGCCTTGCAAAGTAACCTAGTTATCTTCTCTATTAAATAATCAGCACTGGGTACCTGATAACCCTACGCGTTAACAAGGTGGAGGAAGTATTTAAGGTATTACACAAAGAGATGTACCTAGGAAGACTTTAACTCCCCCAAATCCTTACACTGAATACATCAGGCTGAAAAAGATTTAAGCCTTATCGCCTTTATCTTTTTCTGTACTGACAAAGCACTATCATAACAAATGATCTGGTAAAAGCTAGAACTGTATTATATCATTATAAAGGTCTTTGCAATTTTCTGGTAGCCACGAAAGGAATTGTCAAACTGGAGCCACGCAGCCTGCAAACTGCCTGGAGAGCTTGCTGGGTTCCGACTCACCACTTCCCATTTTCAACCAGTGAACTGCGCTAACAGAAATTAAGGTATTTAATACTTTCCTAATACTGCCTTCTAATGCAGGAAACTGCTGTAAACATTCCAGGAATTATATTCGCTTGGCAGCAAAAGGCGGTGGTCTGCCTAACGGTAATTGTGAAGGTAGGTATTAACAGAATTATTTTGTTGGTCAGAAAAGCCTAATCACCGGCAAATCAAAGGAAATATTTTCTCTTCCATGTGTAGTCCAGAAGTCAGCACCATAGACTAATACTTACTACACCTTTTCCTATGTACTTAAAATGTTACGACTGAAGAATTTTCCTGCCTTGAATTATCACTCATGACTATCCAATCTTGAGAGTCTTAAGCTGAATTAATTTAGAAAGAAAACAGCATAGTTTCAAACACCACACTGTACATGCAAAAAGAACAGCCAAAATCAAGCATTTCCAGTTCCAGTTTTTCAGACGAGAAGATAAAGACAGTGATTCTAACGACTTATCTGACATACAGGATTAGCAGCAAAAGAACAGAGAGCGTGCCTCCAAACTACGAGGTCTGGCGGTGGGGATACACCATACTCTCAACTCTCTCCATCTGCCACACATTGAACATGAGCTGTATCAGAGCAACCATCTGAGACCCACTGATCAGTCCAGCATCTGCCATCCTGACTCCAGCTGGAGCTTTACTGACCAATACTTGCGTTAAAAATGCAGCTTCAGAGTCGTACCAAGTAAAGTGCAAGTACCAGAATCTGCTCTTTAGACAAATGGGCGCTCCTTTTAGTGCTGGCTGCCTCGTGTCTTACAGCGCAAGCACATCCGTGCAGAATGCTGTTCTTTTTACTATGCTAATGTAACTCTGAATATTAAGGGTATGCTGGCGCACGCGTCTTTATATGTTAGAGTGAGCAATGACAAACTAGACACATGACTGCGGATGGCCCTTCAGAGTTAAATCTGACTTGACTCAGGCGCTAGCTCCAAGTTTGAAAACAAGATGCCAACAACATATTTATCTTTGTTGCTTGTCCAGCATTCTAAATGCATAAACTGCAACCTAGCGAGTATCTTTTGCGTTCAAAAAATGGTTGTGTAAGAGGCTGCAGTTTTTTTGACTTACCAGGAGATGGCGGCTGAATCTTAGGTTGTTTCTTAGTATCTCCCGTGCTGAAGACTTCTGGAGGGGGCTCCTCCCCTCGCTCAATCTTGCACTCGAAGGCAAACAGGTACTGAATGTATTGTTTTTTCAGGGAGCTGGCTGCGCTGCTCGAAGTACCAACGTTCAAGGTGGTTGCCAGCTCACGCCACTTCTTGTTTTTATTAACCTAGCAAAATGAACGGCATAAATTGGTTTGCAGCAAAGTGGTTTGTTTAAGTCAGGAGACAAAAAAGGGGGGGGGGAAAGGCAAAAAAAAAAAAAAGCACGTAACGTCTTGGTTTACTTTTTTTATTTTCCTCTTTTAGGTAATGCTCATTACTCCCACACGCAGTAATGCATAGGCAGCATTTACAGTTATAAAACCACTAAGGAACCTGCTGATAGCTATGTAAAAAGCTTTGCTTGTGGAGAGTCTTCTGCATGGTGCATCTTTTAAATGCCTTGCACTCTTCCAGGGCCTATGCTCTTCCGTTAGCAATCCATCTCCAAGCAAACGCACGCTCGTTCTCCCTCTCTCCGACACCCACCCACACCCACCCCATTCTAATTAAAAAGCAGCTTCTAAAAACTAATTCAGAAAGCAATAACAGCATTATTCTGCAATTTAAGTGTTTCAGCACTGATATGAAAAATAAATTTTTCTCCAGAACAGCCACCAGCTGTCAAACACTTCAGCCGGTAATTCCTGGTTCAAGTCCTTTCACTTTAGGGCATCTTGCAGGGACAGATCAATGATCCTTTGGCTAGATGAGAGGCAGAGTGAAGCGAGGCCCCTTAATTAATTAAGGCAGACTTCAAACACACAGGGCTAGTCCAGCAATACTCTGTATTACAGTGCTGACTGCACAACTCCACTGCCAGTCTTGTTTGCAGTGTAAGGCTGAGAATATTGAAAGACTCTGTTCATGAGTTCCTCAAACACAGCTGATCTGTAATAACAGCGAAGTTCATTTGTCATCCTGGATGATGCCACTGGCTCGCTCAGCTGTACCACTCACAACGGCCAGTTGTTTTTGCTGTAATACCTGATGCCTCAGACTTCATTCAACCACCTGTGCAATTGCTAGGTATGATCCAAGGAGGGGAGGCAGCACTGAAATAAATGGGCTTTACATGGCTGAACATCTTAGCTTTTGTTGGGGACGAATCCTGATTCTTGTGTGCCACGATGACTTCTACTTGCCCTGAGGCCTGAGATTTTAATGACTCGAACTTAACTTGTATAGCTACAAAGGTTATCCTTAGCCATACTGTTCCTAAGCCTTCGTGCCAGCAAAGGAAGCATTTCTTACGTTTCTCGCGGTGTTTAATAACACTGTAACTGCTGCCAGTCAGCAAAGATCTTTTGGGGATAGCATTAATAGCAAGCAGGTTGGCATGGCTATGTGAAGTGTTTCTATTTTTCTGGTACATCCTGCAAGAACCCAGGAGGTTCAAGGAGAAGAGATTTTCATAAACTGCCCTTGTTGAGGCTTGAAATCCAGCTACACAGCCCTTTGTGCCTACTGACTTATAGCTAAGTGGTGTGTAATGAACACATTGCATAATGCAAACAGAAACATTCATGCCTAAATGCCCAGTATATTGGCATTTAAAAGACGACTGCCAACAGCTGGTCTGTTCATGTTGGGACCCCATCAACTGCAACTATTTGGACAGAGAATATGCACCGCTGCTGCACAGCTCCACTCCCTGTCACTCTCGGGGCAGAATCATGAGATGTGGAGTGCAGCAGTTGGAGCAACAGCTTTTTAGGAGGGCATCACACAGATGCATTTAAATAAACCTCAGCAAGCAAAGTTCTGCACCTCTCAGTAGCCCCAAACAGATAAACACGGTGATCATTCATGTGGGCACACCAGCAAAACCAGGAGCCTTTACTTTCAGCGTCAATTTTTACCAGTACTGAAGCACACACGTTTGTAACTCAAGCTCTTTCAAAAATCAGTCTAAGTGAACACCATCTATGCTTTGGCCATGCATAATGTCTGTCACTGCAAATCAACACTGAGTGTCCCAAAATAAAATAAATTTCCATAATAAGCAAACATGAATGACTTTCTAGAATATCCCATCTGCCCCCATCTTGCTTAATTTTTGATGCTAAGAGTCATACTATGGGCACAATCACGCTGTATGAGGCAGAGCAGCTGCATGACACGATTTACCTGTAATAAAGTTACTGAGCTAAAAGTAATCAAATCTTTATGATGCTGGGGGGCATGAGCTGATCACTAGAAATGTCAGGATAACATCTCTTACCCATATACAGCATTTAACAACTGGCAAGGTGAACTGTATTAGGTTTCTCTGCCTTCCTTTAATAACAGGAATAGCTAAAATCTCTGGACTTGAAGGGCCAATGATCTAATTCAGTAGTCAAATCCTATGTTGTGAGGTGCACTATTCAAAATAGCATTGCAAATGGTACTAATTGATGTTGGACATTTCCTTCTTGAACTAATCACAGATGATTAAAATGTGCTCTCTTTCTGAGGATCTAATTTGTTTGCCATGTTTTTGAGTTCAGATTTTGTAATTAGTGTAAAATTATATCTAAATATTGAATATTATCTATTTTGTGTTAAATATTGCATATACGTATGTATCTGCATAGCCATGTTTAAGACCTCATCTTGCAAAGTACTGAACATCCACAAACGTTCTTAAATCCACTGAAATTATGGGTCTCAGCACTTCACAGTAGCTTCTAGCAGCTAGCCAGAGTGATCCCCTAGATGCACGGGATGCTTTGTAAAAGCACCAGGCAAGGACAGATGACTTTGAATACCAAATCTAAGGCTGAAAATGCTGACCATTTTCTCCTGCTTTCCCTTTTGATGGTGCTAGACAATGAAACAATATAGTTTTGCTCTGTGGTGGCCAGTCTTACAGAACTCACAAGTAATTTCCAAACATCCTTTTGCAAAACTTCCAGTTAACTGGTGAGAAAGCAAACCAAAGCTTCTCTCTCCTATCTGTGACTTTTTTATTCTCAGCTCTTCCTGCTTTCATTTTCCTTCATCTCAATTAAGTAATTCACCTTTTCCTTGTAATCATGACGTTTGTAAGGCAGCCCAAAACATCCTGTAAGCATTTTCCAAACACAGGGAAAGCACAGTCCGTGTCTAAGAAACAAATGTACCGTACAGAGACACTCAGAGATGAAAGGTTTGGGATGAAGGACTGTGTTTCGAGAACATATCTGCCACTTCTCTGGAGAGATGAATTGATTCGTCCTAGAGGCAGTATCCCTATCTGTGAAGGATGGATTTCAAAATCTCCTTTTCCTTTCAGCTCTAGCATGTGTTTGTTTCTTCTTACTTTGATCCAATGGCCTTTTCCTCTTCTCTTCTCTTAGTGGCATTACTGGATTCCCCATAACAGGTAACAATTTCATCTGTCTATAGCAATGGTCAATCTTGAGTCAAACTGTACAGTTTTAGGGCAATTATGCAGCCCAAAATGAACTCCAGACAAATACTAAAGCACGAAACTATTTTCTTCAACAATGTTGTCAGGGCTGAAAATGTAATGGTGCAACCAGCAGGAAATACTCTAGAAAAAAATGCCTATCGCCTTTTCAAAAGGTTCACTTTCAAGCACTTCTCACCTGTGCTAAACCTCCAATCTCTTTGACGCAGACATAGAGCCTGAACAGGTCCAGGGGCTTCTTGCCCACAGCTGGCAGACTGGCCACGGGCGTGCCCCTCTCCTCCATGAACGTGAGGTACCGATCCACCCACATCTTGCGCTCCGGCTCGTTTCCTAGTTCATAGACTTTTGTGATCTTCTCTCCAGTTGTGGTAGAGGAACTTGATTTCTAAATCGCAAGAAGAAAAAAAAAAGTTGGGGGAAGGGTGGGAGGGGGAGGGAAAAGAAAGTAAGAAACTCACAACATTGAAAAAGAGAAGATGTCAAACAAACTAAAGCTATCACACAACAGTCAGGAATGAAGGCTACTAGTTCAGGCACAAACAGTACATTCTGTCCATATACGGAAAATTCAGCTTTTTAAATAAAGGGCCCAAACTCCCCATTTTCATATTTCTTTCACTGATCTGAACTTTGGATCCCAGAAGGCAAGTTTCTGATGTTGCCTCATGTCATTTTAAGAAGAGGTAGCTCTCACATAGTGCTTCTCATCCACTTATCTCAAAGTAATCTCAATTTAATTTGGGTAAAATTAAAAACAAGTTTGTCCCACACAAGTTTACATAATCCTAAAACCAAACCAAATCAACCCTCTCCCCTTTGCGCCCAGTAAGGGGCTAGAAAACCTGAAAGCGTTCCTGCAGAACAGGAATTGCACAGAAGTGGCCTAAGGCGTGAATCACGGCAAACTAGTACACTGAGGAGTAGTACTCTCTTTAGAGAGTCACAAATGGTTATGCTTTACTACCTCTTCACACCACCCCTGGCCAAAAAGCAAGATGAGCAAGAGAGCCTACAGTACAAGGAGATTGGTGGCAATACTCTTTCTGAACTGCCAATTAGCTGCCTGAGCCAATAATGTTTATGAATAACTACTACTCTCCTCCCTTGAAAGAGGGCAGAAAATAGCCATCTCACTTGTCCTACCTTGCAAAGAAAATGTGTATTATGACCCGGGGAAAACCAGGGATGCACAGCAATCAGAGCTGAACCACCAGCAGGAAAAGTGAACGAGGTGGAAAGAGCAGAATTCCTTCTCAAGTGGCAGAAATGCAGGAGTGAACCTGTTTTCCTGCTGCTATTTGGGCTTTACAGCTAATGAAAGCTCATGTTATCTTGATGCCCTTTTCTTGTCTATGTGGAGATGGCAGAAAGCACTGAGGCTGCTACACAAGCTGTAACTTCTCACCGTTAGCTTTTCTGTGCAATATAACCCTTTGAGCTGGGCTCTGTGCCATGTGTGGATGGACTACACCCTATCCGAGCTCCCTCTGATCTAACAGCAGAGAGGGGCTGCTGCTACTGCAGGAAGACTCTCCTGCTTGCAGAAGGTGAAGTGATTTGCACAGCAGTGGAAGATGGGAGTGGTTCAGAATTAAACACAAGGCAGAGAGATTGATATAAAGCTTTGGGAAAGGAGCCAAATATATGAAGGGAAACATATCCTTTATGTCTGTATAATAAAATCCTAAACTTGGTTGTTGACTGCAGTAGACACTTCTTTCCACTCATCTAGTCAATCACCCTTTCCCTCCTTTGCCTTTCCCTTACTTTGAACAGGAGACTGCACTATTCTGAAGTAAACAGGAACTCATTTCTAGTTGAACATCTCTAAAGAAGACCCTAGCTGTACCTCCCGGATGCTACAGAACCACCCACTTCGTCCGTGTCCCCACACAGGACTGGTGAGGACTGGCACTCAACACCAGGAAAGATGCAGTGGGGAAGCATCCACCTGCCAATGATTTTAAAAGCATTGCCACCATTCATCTTGCACGTTAGCCTGGAAAATATGACAGGCTCTGTATCTCCCTCCAGCCATTAGCTGAAACTTGGCAACGCTGGAGGAGAGCCAGGAGAAAAGAAACGTGAAGCCAAGGGGGGTGACCCAGCAGTTCCATGAGCCATTGCTGTTCTTTCCAGTGAACAGATACTCATTTTAATTAAATAAATAGCCTCCTGTAAAGTTTTCTGCCTTGCTTCCTGATACTGTAACTTCTTTGCAGCAGTCCTTCCTCCAGACAGATATTATTACCTTTCTTACTTAGAAATGAGGCGCGCTCCTGAATTTACTTGAGCCAGATTCAGTTGTGTTACAACTCCTACTGAAATCAGAGTCAAGGCTGAATTTGTTTTACTAATACTAAGTGGCTGGCAGGAAAGTACTTTGACGTGAGTCCTGCAGATTATGCAATGAACGCACAAACTGATTCTGTAATGGCAACCAGTTTACTCTCAGCATCACCTGCTATGTATCTGGGCGTTTTAAGAAAATCAGTTTAACTCTTTTCAACAAATATACTTTGTCAAAGATTTTTTTTGGGGGTGGGTGGAAAGAGGGAAGTAGGCAAGTTATGTTGCTACTAATTTGATTTTGTAGTGAGAACAGATACATGATCACATAGGCTCGAACAGCTGAATAAACTGAAGCTACCCCACTACCAACTGCAGTAAGAACAAAGTTACTGTACTGCTCATCAGCATTAATTTTAATGACACTTATGATGCCACAGAACTCACAAAAATGAAGGTGGGAAATTTCAGCTTTTACCCAGCAAATTTTGTATGTGCTTATATTCTAACATATGAGGCAACAAAATAGTTTCTATTTCACTTTTACGGTAGTTCGCGATTAAGAATGTTCAGATTTACCAGTTTTACGTTTTCATTTTTATATGGTAAGATTCTCTTTTTCAAATCAGATTCAGAGCAGAATGGAAACCGGTTAAGAATTTTTCATTCTGGGTTTTTCTGCTGTATGTCTCAAATGATGCTGCTTTTCAGCAGTGTGGCAGCAGGCTCTAAAATGACAGTATAATCTGAAAACTTTTCACAGCTTACAGAAGGTAAGAAATGTTTCTTACTGTGTGAGCTTTCAGGTTGTCACGCGTTGTAAAATGGGTGCAATTTTCTTCTAAAATGAAATGTTAACTTTAGAAGAATGCACTGGAGGGAAGAATGCTATTCCTCAAGAGTAAAGATCTTTTTCTCTTCTCTATTTTTATAAATGTAAACATTTAAAAATGACAGATGTGTGCAAGCTAGTCTACACACAAACAAACTTCAGTTCCACATGGGCAGGTTCAGCTGGAAGCCTAAATTTGCCTATAGGTAAATGTTAACCCTCAGAAAATAAGGGTTTATTACAAAATGATCCCCTTAGCAGATTGTTAACTAAAATGAGCGCATGCCAGGCAACGCTGGAAGAATACAGATCATGAGCTTTTCTTCTGTTAAGTCTGTTGATCATTTTGGTGATAAAAGAATGCTGGTGCAAGCCTGTGGCACATACCTTTACTGATTTAGTTGTATCCTACTCTGCCCTCAATCCCCAGCACTCTTTTACATGATATGACTGGCCATGTTTAAATAGGTGATTTAAAAAAACCCACATCTAAGTATGTGGATACCAAAGCCAATTCTCATATTAAATTTGTCAAACCCCATACTTTATTTTCAATACACCTACCACCCATTAAAACTGTATTATACACAGACTCTTGTATGGTGAACCTGCAGAATCCTTCAGAGCAACACAAATTTCTGTAGGAGTTCTTTTCACGTTAAGGCAGTGGGTAGTTGTTTCTGTACATGTCTCTAAGCATCTATATTTATAAACTATCTACGGTTCACGTCCCCCACTTCAATAAAGAATTTGCCAATATTACACTTAGTACGTAGCCCTATTTTACTACAGAACAGAGTAGTAAACACAGGCAGCAAAAACGGCCAAAGTCCAATCTCTGGCAGAGGCTTTTGCAGGACACAATCCTCTGTCAAGATTTCCTCCCGAAGGACTCTGCAGACCCCTCACAGCTAGCACCATGGAGACACAGTACTATTCAAGTGTATTCACTGTCACGTTCATGTGTACCTGTGGACAGCGAACAGCATTTTATGGGGTTTTCATAACCTACTGTTTTATTCATGTTCCAGTGAGCCTGCATAGTTCACACCCACACTTGCAAATTCTCTTGTAAAGAATTTTAAAGCCACCTCGCCACTGTGAGGGATGCACACTACGTGCAAAATCAGCATAACGGAAGTGTTCTTTTACCTATGTACCCAAAGAGCCCTCAAAGCATAATGTCCAACAATTCCTTCTCCCCGTTTTCTCATGCCTCACTTCCATATAAAACTGCTGAAAAGAGAGGATCCACTTAGTAGGATCACAGGGATGCTGTGAAGTGAATCACAGACTATTCACCCTTGCTTTTATCCTCTGCTGGAATGGAGAAGTTGTAGCACATGAAGCAGCTTTGGGATTTAAAGAACAAATTCAGCCTGTTCTCAAGGGTAACAAAACGCCTGCAATCAATCGTTCCAGTCTATGTCAGACTGCTGTTGAAGTCGATGAAGTTATCCAATACACTGGCCTTCATAGGTAAAAAGCGATCAGTTAATTTACGGCACTTATTTTTCTATCGTTCCAAAGCACCGTCTTTATCCATATCTGTGTACCAAGAAGCTAACTGAAGCAAAAGACGCAGCAGCATTTGGACAGAGGGGCATTCAGAAGAAATTGAAAGCACAAACTTCCTCCATTTGTTTTTCCCCAACACTATACTTTGTCATATTTACATGGAAAAACCTCCACATATGTTCACAGTGACTCTAGGATTTGTTACGCAGTTTAGGCAATGAGCTCAGGAACGCGTTATCATTTGGTAGCCTTGCAGAGGAAGAACTCGATGTGTTAGACAGCCTGTGCAGTAACTCTCTTGCTTTCCTCCAGAAAACCGCCCAAACAAGCAATACCCAAAACATGACTACAAAGAAAACTAACACCGTTTCTGGTACCACTCTTTCAGAAATGCTGTTAAGAAAAAGATGAGACTTTGTGGGAACAAGTAACACCAGCTGCCTTCTGAGACTCAAAGTCGCTGCCAAATAAACATCAAAACGTTAAGGTGGTGCATTTCATGCCATGCTGCCCCTCCGCTCCGGGGATTCATTCACTAGATGTCTGGTTTTTGGATGGGGAGAGCTTTTTCACTCCAATTGGCCTTCCTCTGTTTGTCCTGAGACAACGTATCACTTTGTGAAAATTAAGTTGTTACCAAAGAACTGTTGCTATTTTAAGGGCACATTAACATCAGAAAAAACCCTTCATATTCCTCACAAAGATATATTGCAGTATTTTTCTAGAGAGAAATTATGATTGTCGCTACTTTTGGTAAAAAGAAAAAAGAGGAACAACATTTATTTTTCTAATTTAAAAAAAAAAAAAGCAAAAATGACCAAGTGGACATTTGCTCCCCATAGGCCATATCTGCTTGTATCTCCATTCTCTTTTCTATATACGTATATAGATTTTCTATGTGTGTATATATATAGATATACATATGATGAAATTTATTTTTAGCTCCACGCATCTCTCTCAGGTTTTTCTTTACAACCTGTATGAGAATGACTAAACATTATTAATCTAAAAAATAGTTTTCTAAAAACATACACACATCAGGTTTTTTCTACCCACAATCTGGGTTATTTCAAAATAACGGAATGAAGGAAATCAGAAACAATTTTGTTTTAGACTGCCCTGATAACCTAATGACTGTATTTCCAAATACACAATTCAAAATGAAAAACGTTTCCGAAATATACATGGCAGCTTTTTCACGGTGCTGAGTCTACAGTTCAAACTTTGACGGATCTTAGTTTCAACAGGGGAGAAGATTTCTTGTTTTGTTTTGGTTTTTTTTCCTAAATAATCCTAGCAAAGACAAGTGCAGCAACCAGACTGAAGTCAGTTGTGTGAAGGAGTTTGGGCCCAGGAACAGAAATGGAATTGTCCTTAACAACACAGTCGGCATGCTTGGAAGCTGATGCATTACAGGAAGGATGTTTTCTTCACAACAACTGCTGTATTACCAGACAGCACACTTGCATGATGCACGCAATTTTACTCTTTCTTATTTCAAAGTACTGTTGGGACAAATTTTGCCCTTGGATAAGCATGCTCAGGCCCCACTGAAGCCAGGCAGTGGAACTTACAGTCATGTGTCCGAGAGCAGAATTTGTACCCAGTATTATAAAGAAAGAAAACTGTTTAGTGGATAAATAATGAAGAAAAGGAATTTACAAAACAAACAAGCAAGCATTAAAATATAATTAATTACAAAAAAAATAAACAAAAACCAAAAAACCAGAGCCACTTACAGGGCTTGATGGAGTCTTTGGCCAGCCTGGGCTGCTAATGCTATCACTTTCATCTCCATGAAATGAGGAGATGCTAGCAGAGCTTGGGGACATTGGGGAAGGGACTGGCAGGTTGCCTGGGGTTGGGGGCTGAGAAATACCCTGAGAGCTGTAGCTATCCTGTGGTAGAGGAATAAAAAAAAAAAATATGACAAAGGCAGGGCAAACTTTATTAAAAACAAAAAAAATACATCCAGTTTAACAGACTGACCAATTTTTATATATAAAATATATATAAACAGAGACACATACAGAAAACACACACATATATAAATATATTTTTATATATATATATAAAAGGTATTAAAACAACATTGTTAATTAGTATAATTTGGAAAGTTTGCTGGATGCTTGGCTAAAGTCACTAAGCCACCATGCTTATTTCAAGCTCACATGGAATGCTAAGCATGGGTTTCCCCTTATGAAAGAAAGAAAAAAACCAAGCTGTTCACCTTATTTTATCAAATAAGGCAGGAAAGCAAAATATTAAAGTATGTTGCTGCTGCTGAGGCGGCCAAAACAGGAAGCTATAACTGAAGGCAGAGAAAAATGGCTGCAAGTATTGAAACCAGGCAAGACCCTTCTTTCCCACCCACCTGGCACAGCCGAATCCCCACGCAACTTTTGGCTTGGGTTGCTTTGCCCCCGCAAGTTAAAATGCCGTAAGAACTAGTAACTTTCAGATCCACACAATGAAGGAAAAAAGAAAAAAAATAAAAGAAAAGAAACAAACAAAGAGATTGCACGTGAATGGAAAGGCATGCAGGAAAGAACAGAGTGGGTAGGCCAAAACCAGAAGATGAAGGACAACGCAGCAGACTTCTGCGGGCTGAAACAACACCACGTGCGTAGGTGGTAAATACCTTTGACTTGCTCTCGGGTTGGGGGGGTCCTTCTTCTTTGCCATCTGCTTTGAGAGGAAGGGGTAGTTTGGACTCACCGGGTGTCATCATATCTGCAAGACCCATAGGTGCTAATCGAAAACAGGAGAAACAGTTAAGCATGACTATGTTTGGCTTTGTAAGAAAAAACACGCTTCCTGCTGCAAGATCGTGGTGCCACGTGAAGCAGAGGTTATCCCACCTCTGTCCTGTTATTCTAGTGTCTGGAAACCTGGAAACCTCTTCAGTTGAAGTGAGGAAATAAAAGAGAATGAACGAGGCGAGAATACGAGCACCATGCAACAACAACGACGATGACTTTACAAAGTAAAATTCATTCTTCATGCTGCTGGTGGTCTTCAACTGTGTCCACATTTGACCACTACATTTTAACAGAACAATAGTCTATTTTAAGAACTACTGCACCTTCCCTTTAGCAACAGACAAACGTAAATGAAAATGATGTGCATTTTGCTTGCAATGTTGAACCCGAGAAAAAGGCTGACTTTCCCAATTACGTCTGGATTAATGTTGGTGTTCAGCAGATAATTCCTGCCCCTACCGACTTTAGTACGAATGGCTCAGCCACTGTGAGCCTTAACTACAGAATTACAAGCTGTAAACTCCACTCTGTTGGAGAACCGGCACTCAACTTCTTCCCCTCCTGCCAAAATGAGGTGGGACTATAGCAAACGCACAAATGTCTGTCTCTGATAATGGCACGCAGTTGCTCCCCTGGGGTGCGAGGAGTTTAAGGGGTTTTTTTATTTGAAGATGCAAGTGCTCAGTACAGCATTATTGCTGCAGAGCTGCTGGGTTCCTGGATTTCTAGAAAGATGCAAGGAGAAACATTCAGATAAATAGACAGAAAATACTGGGCGGATCAGGAGGTGCCACGACATTGAATCAATGCAAATAACCACGGAACAACAGCAAGACACCAGGTGATTCTTTCCCTGCGGAAAACCATGTGCACAGCACTTACGGAAGACTGGATAAGATATCTTCCCTTCCTCTCCCTTTTTTCTCCCCCTCATGCCCTTCTTTCAAAGAAGGATCTGAGCTAAGAAAAACATAGGATAGAATAACCTACGAGGCAATAAAAAGGAAAAAATACATATCCCAAACTTACAAATTTTAAGAATCAGCAAAGCATCATTGTTTAAAAAAAAAAAAAAAATCTGATCATGACCAGACTAGCGTGCCTCTCTGCAAAATGACAATGCTGGCTCGCACTAGGCAGCAGGCACACTGCATAGCAAGCCAAAGAGAGGAGGGGGAAAATAAGCTTTAAAAATACTTCACAGATTGCCCACTACAAAATGATTATTGCACATACTCATGTATTACTATGTTTTAGAAAATAATTAGTTTTAATTACAGCAGTGAGAGCATGAGCAGGACTCTGGCGAATACGCTGGCAAGCTTTGCAGTGCTAATTTGCTAATATCTTTAGCATCACTGCAGGTTGAGACTATGGGTCTGCCAAAAAAACCTACCCAGCCATGTGCCATGTGAGTTTACAACTCTGTGCTCAATATTCAGCTTTGAACTGCCGGTGTTTTTCATGGGCACATTTTCTTGTTTTTTCAAAGCACATTTGTAGCCCAATCAAGCCCTTAAAGTCATCACAACACATAAATCATAATTGAGATTAAAAAAAAAAAAAAATTACTTGCAATACTTAAGACTTCAAGAATTGGAACAAAAAGCCTTTTTCAAGTGATGCAGCTGCAGAGAAAAATCTATTGGGATCAGCTAAAAATGCTGTTATTTTTATGTATGTGTGTGAAACCTCAACAAAACAGCCAAGCAATATGATACTGGGAAGCCAGCATCCACTAAGCGTTTGATTTGTATGCATTTTGCCCTTATACTCCGTTTGAGGAGCTGGGGCAGCTTGTGACCATTATGAAGTGAAGGATGGCAGCCTAACACATTTTAGTTTTGAATTCCACAGTTAAAAAAAAAGTTATTTTTCTTTTAGAGATTTTTTAAAAATGTATTTACAAAATGGTCAAACGTATGCCACAGTCTGGTTTCAAACTGGGATGCAGAACTGTTATACAAAACCCATTTTAACAGTTAACACATTTCATGCTGTGAAAGCGCTAAAGAAGAAGTCTTAGTTTTAGTTTCAAAGCAACCAACGATGACCCTTCTCCTCTAAAGCAATTTTAGAGAGGTCAAACAAAGCAAAGTTAACAATCACGCTTCTTCACCAGAATTCTGCATGGCTAAATCCTCTGCTGATATCTCACTGTTAGCTAGGTTGGCACACTAGTTCTACTACAAAGGATATAATAATTGTGCCCACTTCTGGTAGTCCTGTTTGCATCATAATTCCTTTATAAAATCTCTTTTCCAGAGAGGTTTAAGTTAACACCTCATGTAAAGGGCAAGTAACTCTAGTCTGCAAATTACCACATGTATTCTGACTGTACTAATCATGTTTAGAAATGTAAAAATACTGATTCATTTTGGCTTTTGAATATTTCTTGTTGGCATATGCAAATATAACTATCAGGAGTTGGAGGCAATTATGAAAAAAATAATAAAGTTTCCCAAATTCTGTTTCACTTTTTGTTCTAAATTATTTACTTCATCTACACCCTTTCTTTCTACCTGTAAGAGGAGAACTGCAAGGATTTTGCTAGTGAATTGCAAGGCTGTCTAGTTTCCCTATAGCTTTTACCTAAGATGTTTCCACAGCTACTTTTCTACCCTCTGCTGAAATGCTGTTTCATAACTTCTTGCAAACGTACTCTCCAGCGATTTGCAAACAGACATTCCTTCACTTTTTTTAGCAAAGTGGTATGGCGAGAACATTGTTTTGACCCTTTCTGAGCAGTGAAATACTGTTATTGTCACGAAACTGCTAAAATAAGACACGGTCTCTTTCTACACAGGTACTAATAATTCTGCGTGTGAAGTGCAGACCAAAGGATAAAACATTTTAGAGAGGAGGATAACAGGGCAATCTTGACTCAAAAAGTGTTGTAGCGTACTGTGAACAGGTTTCAAGTACTAGCCTCTGGCTTATTATAAGAATTTAAGAGCTAGAATGATTTCAAACAGCAAGTATGGGTCACAGTCCTGAATTAACTATTCCACACTGAATTTAATGTACTCAGAAGCAGATATTGACACGAGTAAAACTGCAGCAAAGTATTCTTTTTTTGCTAAAGGCTGCTCTATCAGTCCCAGAAGATGATGAAATACCGCAGGAGAGGCAATACACAAACATTGCTTTTCTCTTT